TCTGGGGCCTCCCGCAGGGACATGTGCAAGGGTTCACCATGGGCCATGGGCACCTCACGCACCCCCCGAGGTGTCGTCGTTGCAGGGCCCCCCCAGACCTTCAACGCCTTGAAGATTCAACGCGGGGAGTCGGTCTGCGGTGTTGGTCTCTGGGGTCTCCCGCAGGGCCCCAGGACCGTCAAGAGAACGACTCAGGACCCGTACTGACACAATCAAGAGTGGGCGGGAAGAGCATCGGGATGCTGAAGAAGTCTGTGGGGTCAGGGCGGAGAGGGACACTGGGCGGAAAGAGCATTGGGCTGCTGGGGAGCATGAGGCTGCTGGGGAACGCTGGGTTGCTTAGAGGGGCGGGAGGGGGAAGGAGGCGGATAGGAGGGGGGGCGGCGCGGCGCGAAAATATGTTGGGCGGGGCGGAGGGGGCATTGGGCGGAGAGGGCACCTTGGGTGCTGGGGAACGCTGGGGCGTCGGGTCGGACGGGGGCAGTGGGCGGAGAGGGCACTTGGCTGCACGCTGGGGGGTCTGGGCGGAAAGGAGCCCTGAGCGGAAAGGGCGATTTGCTGTTGGGGAACGCTGGGCTGCTGGGGACCGCTGGGGAGAGGGGCGGCGAGGCGGAGTGGGGCTCGGCGCGGCGCGAAAATGAAGGGGCCGTGGAGGAGGGTGCATTGGAAGGAGAGGGCACAGAGCTTTTGGGTGACAGTAAGCGGCTGGAAGGACGCTGGGCCGCTGGGACGGGGGCGCGGGGAGGGTTTGGGGGCGGCGCTGCGCGAGAATGGAATGGTCGGGGCGGAGGGGGCGCCGGGCGGAGAGGGCACTGGGGTGCAGGGAAACGCTGGGGGTGTCGGGGCGGATGGGGGTACTGGGCGGAGAGGGCATTGGGCTGCTTGGGCCGTTGGGGGGTCGGAGCGGAGGGGGCATTGGGCGGAGAGGGCACTGGGCTGCTAGGGAACATTGAGCTGCTGGAGAACGCTGGGCTGCGCGGAGCATCGAGGGTTTGGGATGTAGCGCGCATGTTGGTTGACGACACGCGAGCAGGTAAGGACGAACAGTCGTAAAGTGATCGTTGGTGTTGTTACCCGCCACACGCGGGGACTTCGCATGCTCGTGCCGTCTCAGTCCAGGCCGCACGCCAACGCAAGCAATGCGCGCGGCGGCGAACAAGGTCCGCTGTGCAGCCAGCCCATTCCACCACCGACCTCTCGCAACCCTCTGAATGCTCCCATCCACCAAGACTAGCCCCTTCCCAGTCCTGGGCACACCGACGCTCACGCGACCCGCGAACAACGCACGACGAGGTCCTGTCACAGCGCGAGACAACATCCAGCCTTGGACCTGTCCACGTGTGCGGCCATCGGAGTTTGACGCCGCAGGTTTGGGAGGGTGTAGCACACAAGGGCGCGCGAGCTTGCGGGAGCACGGGTGGGCGAGAGAGCGCACACCTTGAGCCAGTACGTGCGCGCGCGAGCGTGCTCCCAACCTCCCCGCCAGGGGGGGGACGGGATGGGGGAGGGAGCGAGGTGGGGTGGGGAAAAGGGGAGGGGGGGAAAGGGGAGGGACAAGAGGGCGGGGGGGAAAGAGGGAAGGGGGAGGGAAGGAGGGAGGGAGGGAGGGGGGGGGAAGGGCAGGGAGGCAGGGGGAGCGGCGGGTAGGGAGAGGGTAGGGAGCCAAGCACCCCTTGCAAGCGGACCGCTGTCCACGGCCGTGCCATCGCACTCGAATGGGGCCAAGCTGGGCCAATGCGCGCGAGGCCGCGACCGCGTTAGAAGTGTTTGTGTGTGTTGTGTGTTGTGTGTGTGCGTGTTTGTCTGTATGTGTCGGCGTGTCAGCGCGTCAGCGCCAGGGTGCCAGAGTGTCAGTGGGTCAGCGAGTGTGTGTGTGGGTGTGTTCATGTGTGCGTACGTGAGTGCGTGTGTGTATACGTGCGTTGCGTGTGTCTGTGTGTATGTGTCTGTATGTGTGCGCGTGCGTGTCAGTGTGTGTGTGCGTGCGTGTATGTGCACGTGTGTGCGTGCGTGTATGTGCACGTGTGTGCGTGTGTGCGTGTATGCGCGGGAGCGCATGCGTGTGCATGCGCGTGTGGGTTTGGGCGTGCATGTACGTACATGTGCGTGCGTGCGTGTGTGTGTGTGTGTGTGTGTGTGTGTAAGTGTATGTATGTGTATGTGCGTAAGTGTGTGTAGTTGCGTGTAAGTGTGAAAGTGTGTAAGTTATAAGTGTGTAGGTGTGTAGGTGCGTAAGCGTGTAAGCCAGAAATTGTATGTGTGTGAGTGTGTGTGTGTGTTGTGCTGCGTTGTGTTGAAGTGTGGTCTGTTATGTTGTGGTGCGGTGCGGTGTGGGGTGTTGTGTTGCATTGTGTATGGCAGGTGTGTGTGTGTGCTATGTGTGCTGTGTGTTGTGTGTAAGTGTGTGTAAATGTGTGTGTACGTGTGACAGTGTGTGTAGTGGTTGTGGGTGTGGGTTCGTGTGTGTGTGTGTGGGGATGGCCGGGGGTTGTTTTTCACTGTTTTTGTTGTGTGCGTGTCTGGTATGCGTGTGTGCGTGTGTGCGTGTGTGCGTTGAGTGCGTAGTGTGCGTTGTGATTGTTTGTGCGCGTGTGGCGGCGTGAGCGTGTCGTGCGTGTGTCGCGCGTGTGCGCGTGGTTGCACGTGTGCAAGTGGGAGCGTTGCTTACGTGTAGTGCGCTGTGTGCGCGTGTGCGCGTGTGCGCGTGGTGCGCGTTGTGCGCTGTGGAGGATCTGTGCGCGTGTGCGCGTGTGCGCGTGTGCGCGTGTGCGCGTGTGCGCGTATACGCGTGTGCGCGTGTGCGCGTGTGCGCGTGTGCGCGTGTGCGCATGTGCGCGTGTGCGCGTGTGCGCGTGTGCGCGTGTGCGCGTGTGCGCGTGTGCGCGTGTGCGCGTGTGGTGTGTGGTATGTGGTGCGTGGTGTGTGGTGTGTGGTGTGCGGTATGTGGTGTGTGGTGTGTGGTGTGTTGTGTGTGGTGTGCGGTGTGTGGTGTGTGGTGTGTGTGTGTGTTGTATGTTGTGCGCTGTGTGCTGTGTGCTGTGTGCTGTGTGTTGTGTGTTGTGTGTTGTGTGGTGTGTGTAATGTGTTGTGTGGTGTGTGGTGTGTGGTGTGTGCTGTGTGTGGTGTGTTGTGTGTTGTGTGTGTGTGCCTGCGTGCATGCGTGCGTGCGTGCGTGCGTGCGAACGTGTGTGTGTGTGTGTGCGTTCGTGTTTGCGTGCGTGCGTGTGTGCGTGTGTGTGGTTATGTGCGTGTGTCTGTGTGTCTTTGTGTCGTTGTGTCTGTGTGTCTGTGTGTCGGTGTGTCTGTGTGTCTGTATGTATGTGTATATGTGTGTGTCTCTATGTTTTTCTATGTGTGCCTGTATGTGTGTGTGTCAGTGTGCGTGTCTGTGTGTGTCTGTGTGTGTTTGTGTTTGTGTGCGCGTGCATGCGTGCGTGTGTGTGTGCGTGAGCGTGTGCGTGGGTGTCTGTGTGTTTGTGCGTGTGTGCATGCACGTGTGCGTGTGCGTGTGCATGTGCGTGTGCGTGTGCGTATGCGTCTGCGTGTGCGTCTGCGTGCACGTGTGCGTGTGTGTGTGTGTGTCTGTCTGTGTCTGTGTCTGTGTCTGTGTCTGTGTCTGTCTGTCTGTCTGTCTGTCTGTCTGTCTGTCTTCGTGTGTTCGTGTGTCTGTGAATGCGTGAATGTGTGAATGTGTGAATGTTTGTGTTTCTGTGCGGGTGCGGGTGTGCGGGTGTGCGGGTGCCGGTGTCCGTGTTCGTGTTCGTCTGCGCGTGCGTTGCGCGCGCGCGTACGCGTGTGCGTGCGCGTACACGTGCGTGCGCGTGCGTGCGTGCGTGTGTGTGTTTGCGTGTGTGCGTGCGTGCGTTTGTCTGTGTATGCGTGTGTGTGTGTGTGTGTCCGCGCGCGCATCGGATCGGATTTTTCCCCGCTTCGACGCTTCGTGCGAGGCCGCGACCGCCAAAAAAGTGTGTGAGTGTGTGTGTGTGCGTGCGTGCGTGTGTGTGTGTGTGTGTGCGGGTGTGCGTATGTGCATGTGTGCGGCCGCGGCCGCCGAAAAGTGTGTGTGTGTGTGTGTTGTGTGATTGCGTGTGTTTGTGTCTGCGTGTGCGCGTGTGTGTGTGTGTGTGTGTGTGCGTGTTGCGTGTGTGCGTGACTGTGAGTGTGTCTGTGTGTCCTCCTTCCGTGCATTGCGGCCCTGATGTGCATACAGCGTGTCCCTTGTTGCCTACCCGCCGGAGCAGTCGACCTCTGCCCAGCGGCCGACGCAAAAGTGTGTGTGTGTGTGCATTTGTGTGTGTGCGTGCTTGTGTGGGGGCTCCCCCCTTCAGCTCCGCCGAAGGCACGCGGCGCGTGTCGGCGGCACTCACGGCTCCGCCCGCGTCGTGCCCAAGGGCTTCTCGGCGCACAGGCACACGCTGGCGCACGAACGCGAGCGAGCTGAGGGTCCTCGAACGGAAGAAGAGGAGGAGGAGGAGGAGGAGGAGGAGAAAGAGGAGGAAGGCCCGCATGATGGTGGGCCAGCGAGCTCGGCCCAGCCAGGATCCTGGACGATGGTGGGTATCATCTGCCAGTCAGACCATCCGTGGCGGACGCGCTTCCACGCAATCGCTGTCAAGACAGCAGCGGCCTTGGATGGCATCTTGGTGCTATCCTCACTGGTAAAGCGTAGGAGGAGGGGGAAGAGGTGGAGGAGGACGAGGACGAGGACGAGGAGGTTTCGCCGCCCGCTTTTGCCCGAGCCAGTTCCTCTAGGCCGGCTTCAACAGGAGGCCAGCCCCGGATTTCCGAGCAGGACGGCATGGCTGCGAGAAGCCCCCGTAGATCCGGCGGGTCCGCCATGGCCACGGGCGGCGAGGACAGGAGGAGCAGGAGGAGGGGGAAAGCGAGGAGGAGGGCGAGGAGGAGGAGGAGGAGAACGAGAACGACGACGACGACGAGAGGGGCAGGGCGCAGTGGCGAGCGGGCGGGCGGGCGCCGACTCCGGACCTGTGCCCTGGCAGGAGCAGGCCGGCGCCGCCCGCGTCACGGTGAAGAGGCTCTGGGCGTCCGAGGACGCGGCGCCGGAGGCGCAAAAGGCCCCCATTTTGCCGAGGAGGTGTTCGGCGGGAGGTTATCGGTTGGTTCTCGGCGGCGTTTTCGTCGGTTCTCGGCGGCGTTTTCGTCGGTTCTCGGCACTCTTTCCATCCTCGGGATGCTTGCCAGCAGCTGCGCCTCGCCGCGGGCGTTCCGCCTCGCGTCGGACAGAAATTTGCGACGGGAGGTGTTCGGCCGTGTTTGGCCCCCGGGGGGCCTCAACCGGCCCGGGTCTGTGAAAAAGAGGCCCGGGATGGAGAAGCGGTCCCTGGCTAGGGCTGCAGACCTTTGGGGGCCCACGCCGTGAAAGATCATGGCGCCCGGGGGCCTGGGTCAGCCGAGGGGGGGGTGGAGGGGCACCTGTGCGTGCGACTCAAGAGACGGGGTCCATGCAAACGGGGGTCAGTCAGAGCGCCAGACCTTGCAGAATCCTGCAGGGCCAGGGTCGCATTGACCTGGGCTTGGGTGCAGGATCCTGCAGGATCTTGCAGGATCTTTCGCATTGACCCAGGCTTTTGGCGCAGGATCTTGCAGGATCCTGCAAGGCCCGACTGACTCGGGTCTGGAATTGACCCGGGTCAGTACATTCCCGACGAAGGCACTTCGAAATTCAGCGGGCGAAGACCACAAGCGGCGAACATATCCAGATCCACGCCCTCGCGGTCAGCATTCTGGGGCGCGATGCTATGGACACGCAGTCGCGCAGATGCGGCCCGCGAGGGGCATCCGCGAACAAGCGCGTAGTATCCACGGGGTCTCGGCCAAGGGGCCCGGGCCCCGCGAGGTTGGGTTATGGATATGTTCCCGCCCACGAGAAGGACGGTGCATCATCTGTTTTCCGCCATCGGGGACGCCTGTCCCCGGGCGGCTGGAAAGATTATACCCATACGGCGGCACACGGAGGCGCAGAGAGTGGCAGATGCCAAGAAGAAGGAGGAGGAGGAGGAGGATCGGGTCAGACAACACTTCAGCACCACCTTTTGGAGGGCAGCGCGGACCTGGGAAATCTGTTTCTCAACCTTCGTGTGGTGGGTTACCGTTGCGGAGTGGTGGACTACGCAGAGCCGACTTAGACCTCGCCGTCGCTAGGGGCTACCTACCATCTGCGCAACAGGTGCCACTTTCGTTGGCTCCTGGGAGGGCAGGCAGAGTGGCGGGCACTGCGCAACTACCGCCGCTTTCGTGGGTTCCCGGGAGGTCCAGCGGAGCGGTTACCTACGCTACCCTTTGGAGGCTGCCATCTGCGCAACCGTCGCCACTGTCGTGAGCTCCAGGGAGGTCCAGCGAAGTGGTGCCCTGCGCAGCCCAAATCAGACCTCGCCACCCGAGGCGGCCGCCGACTGCGCCCCTGTCGCCACGTTCGTGAGGTCCTCCGAGATCCAGCGCAAACGTGCCCTACGCAGACCCAAACGAGACTTCGCCACCATGGGGGCTTGCCGAATGCGCAACCGGTACAGCGTTCGTGACCTCCTGGGAGGTCTGGCTGGGCGGTGCCCCACACAGACCAAATTCTTGACGCTTCGCGTATCCCCACCAGCCCGTAGCCCTTTGGCTCAAGTACGAAACCGTCGCCCTGCAGTTTCGTGCTTGTCCGCTGCCGAGGGGCTGGCCCGAGGCGTGCGCGCCTGCAGCAGGCTTTGTTTCTTCTCGCACGATCCCCACGGTCAGCCCTCGCGCGGCCGTGGGTCTCTGTGTCGCAAGCCCCGGTTTGATGTCGCCGTCGGCGCGCACGGCTTGCCGGCGGCAGCAGCGGCGGGCGGCGGCCGCACGCCGAGCTGGCACCGCCGGGGCGGCTGCCGTGGCCGCCGCGGCGAAGCCGCCTGACCTGCCGCTGCACTTGGCTGCCGCCTGCGCCGCCCCCGCCGCGGCGGCCGGCTGCTCGGCCGGAGCCGCCGCCGCGGCCGCCGCCGCGGCCCCTGCTGACAGCGCGGCCGCGCTGCCCGCCGCGGCCGCCGCCGAGGCTGCCGCCCCCTGCTGGCAGCTGGCTGCGCGGCCCGCCGCGGTGCCGCCCTTCTGCTGCGGCTAGTGCCGCCGGGCGGCTTGCCGCCCCGCGGCCGCCGCCGCCGCGGCGCCGCCGCCACGGCCGCGGCGGCGGCCGCCGCGGCCGCCTCTGCGGCCGCCGGGCGCCGCCGGCGCGCTGGCGGCCCCTGCGCCGGCGGCGCCGTCGGGCTCCGCGGGGCGCCGCCGCCGCCGCCTGTGGCGCCGCGGGCGCCGCCGACGCCGCTGGCGCCGCAGGCGGCCCGCTGGGCCGGGCGCGGGCGCTGGCGCCGCCGCCGCCGGCGAGGCCGCTGCTCGCGGGCGCCGCCGCCGCGGGCGCCGCTGGGCCTGCTCGCGGGCTCGGCGGCGGTGCCGCCGCCGCCGCCCCTGCGGCCGCCAGCGCCGCGGCGGCGCCGCCCGCCGCCGCGGCGCCGCTGCGGCCGCGGGCCACGCTGCCGGCGCCGCGGCCGCCGTGGCCCGCGCCGCCGCGCTTGGGCCCGCCGCGGCTGGCGCCGCCGCGGCCGCGCCGCTGCAGCACCAACAGGTTCCCAGCGGGCAGACGCACCAGCAGGGCAGCAGCGGCAGCAACAGCAGCCGAAGCAGCTGCAGCAGCACCAGCCTCAGGGGACCAAGAATTCAGAATTTCGAGGCGGCTCCAGCTGTGGTGACCAGGGCGACTGACGACTATCTGGAGGATTCTTTCACTGGAAGTGCAGCCTTCAGCTGCCCCCTGGGTCGTTACCGCGCAGCGCAGCCAGCATCTCAGGCAGATCCAGTCCCCAGCATGCCGATCAATCCCACTTCGGATTCGCCGATTAATCCCGTGTTCCCTGGCGACAGTACGAGTAACAATTCGGCCCTCAGCCGAGGAAGTAGCGGGGCCCCAAGCAAATGCCTGGCAGTGCAGAGCGAAAGGGCGACCTTCAGTCGCAACCCTGGTAATCCTGGCAGTCAAGACGGCGCGCTTCCCCCATTCGTGTTTGGCGCTCAGCCCCGGGCGATGGAGACTGCGGCGGCGCGGCGGCGCCGACAAGGGCGCGCTGCGAATCGGCGCCGCCTGGACGCTGCTGCCGCGGCCGGCGGCCACCCCCCTGGGCTCGCCAGCGCGGCCAACGCGGTTGGCGCTGCCAACGCGTCGGAGGAGTCCTCTCCCTTGGGCGCGTCCGCCGCCGTTTGCGCCGCCAACGCCGCTGGCGCCGCTGGCGACGGCTGCCCCGCCGCGGCCTCCGCCGCCAGCGCCTTCTGGGGGGCCGACGCGGCTGCGGCGGCCCACGCGCGCGCACCAACCAGGGCCGCGGACGCAGCCGACGCCCTCGGGCGAGTTGGCGCCGCCCGTGTCCGGCGGCCCGCGCCCCGCGCCGCCTTCGCCGCCGACGCTGCTGACGCCCCAAGCGTCCGCGCAGTCGGCGCCAGTGCTACGCCCGACGCAGCCGCCGCCGCCGCCGCGAGTGCCTGCGCCGCTGCCGCCGCAAAGGCTGCGCAGGCCTCCCTCTGGACGGCCGTCGCGGCCCTGGCCCAGGCTGCCGGGCGCGCGGCGGACGCCGTCGCGAGCGCGCTCCCTGGACGCAGAACCGAACCGCTTGAAGACAGTCGTAAATCTGAGGTTGACGATTGCTGCAAATCTGGAGGTGGCGTTTCGCCTGAAGACAGCCCCCAACCAGCGGCCGTTAGCTGCATCAGTCGCCAGGGGGAGTTACAGACAGAGCGCGCGGTGGTCAGCCGCAGCGGGTCGGTTGTCCCTTCTGTCAGAGACAGGCAGACAGGCGCTCCTACAGCTCCTCATTCCAATCAGCGCCCCAGGCACAGAGTCTTGGTGGAGGCCGAATATGCCCCCGACAGCGCGCCCATTCCTAGTAGCAGCGTCACGGTGACAGGCGGTGGCTCCGCGGAGGGCGCGCCTGCGGTCGGAGACCGGCCTCCTCCCGAGATCAGGTTCACGACGCCTTCCCGAGCGGTGGATGGAGGGTATCTCGAGCCTCCTCGCAGCATAGAGAGTCAGGAGTTCACACTGGAACGTGCGGCCTTCAGCTGCAATAGTCCCCTGGGAGAGCTACGGCCCGAACAGGTGGTCGTCAGCCACAGCGCGCCGGCGCCTTCCCCTCCAAGAAATGACCAAGCAGGCGCCCCTACAACCCCTCACTCCTATCAGCGTCCCGGGGGCGGTCTCGTTGTTGAGGCGGAAGATGCGGCCGAAATTGCGCGCCCCCCTGGCAACAGCATCGTGGCGACAGTCGGGAATGCCGCAGAGGGCGCGCCTGCGCTCGGAGACCGGCCTGCTCCCGAAGGGAGGTCCACGACGCCTCCCCGAGAAGGTGATGGAGGTTATCTCGAGCCTCCTCGCAGCATAGAGAGTCAGGAGTTCACGCGGGAACGTGCGGCCTTCAGCTGCAATAGTCCCCTGGGAGAGCTACAGACCGAACAGGCGGTCGTCGGCCACAGCGCGCCGGTGCCTTCCCGTCCAGGAGACAACCAAGCAGGCGCTCCTACAACCCCTCACTCCTATCAGCGTCCCGGGGGCGGTCTCGTTGTTGAGGCGGAAGATGCGGCCGAAATTGCGCCCTTTCTGGCAGCAGAATCGCGGCGACAGTCGGGAATGCCGCAGAGGGCGCGCCCGCGCTCGGAGACCGGCCTGCTCCCGAAAGGAGGTCCACGACGCCTCCCCGAGCGGATGATGGACGATATCTCGAGCCTCCTCGCAGCATAGAGAGTCAGGGGTGCACGCTGGAACGTGCGGCCTTCAGCTGCAGTAGTCCCCTGGGAGAGCTACAAACCGAACAGGCGGTCGTCAGCCACAGCGCGCCGGTGCCTTCCCGTCCAGGAGAGAACCAAGCAGGCGTTCCTACAGCCCCTCACTCCCATCAGCGCCCCGGGGGCGGTCTCGTCGTTGAGGCGGAAGATGTGGCCGAAATTGCGCCCCCCCTTGGCAACAGTATCGTGGCGACAGGTGGGAGTGCTGCTGAGGGGGCGCCCGCTGTCGGAGACGAGCCTCCTCCCGAGAAGAGGTCCACGACGCCTCCCCGAACGG